AAAAGTCGTATGTGCAGAAAACCGTAAGTAGGATAAGAATCGTAAAAGGTGTGTGCTTGCTTGATAAGATCCTAACTTTACTTCAAATACACGGTAGGAATCGAATATCCATTTATGATTAAGGTTTTGCCCATTTTTCAGTGGGAATGGCAATACTCATCGATGAGTGATTTATCGTACCCATTTATTAGTAACTGTTAGCAGCTTATGATTAATTGATTTACCTATTTTAGAATTACCTATACTTCACATCAGAACCTCATTTCCTTCAATTACTACTCCGTCGCAGCACACACCTTATATGGATCGCTAATCTTTATTTAGTTTCAGCATTTTCGAGATTATAATCAAAAGGTGAGTTTTAAAAGTATAATTACCATGCATATATAGATAAGTTAATGTACCAGAACCTGGACGGACACGAGCCTACCCAGGGGAGGACCCGGATACGACCACCCATGTGTGTCTAGAGTATCGCACGAGCTGACGAGTGCAACGGGAAGGACAGTAGGTGTATAGACTAGGGGGTTGGTCCCTAGATAAGCGTTCTTAGCGGAAGGCACAGCCTATGCACTGAACAATTACAATTACAATTAATCTTTTTGCAGATGATAGTGTGTTAATCATTGCAGCTAAGGATTTAGATGATGCCGTTTTACACTTGAATGAAGATTTGCGTTCGCTAAGTAGATGGTATAAGCAGTTGAAATTGAATACAAGTAAAACTAAATTTATGGTAATTTCGCGGAATAGAGTAAATGAGAACGTCGCTGTTTTAATTGATGATGAGACTATTGATCGCGTTCGGGAGATTAAATATCTTGGCATGATTATTGATGACACACTTAAGTTCAACTCTCACATTGACAATGTCATCAAGAAAATTGCCAAGAAGTATGGAATTCTATGTCGACTGAAAAACGATTTAACTATTGCCAATAAAATACAGCTATACAAATCAATCATCTCTCCTCATCTAGACTTTTGCCCTTCCATTTTATTTCTGGCCAATGCAACACAAATATCGAGATTACAGATTACTAATACCATTCCTATTCCGAAATTGTATGGAAAGATCAACTATCCACTTCCAAAAAATCATAATACAAAAAGTTAAAACTTTATCACACAAACGTTCATGTAAAGTTCCATAACCATTTCAGTTAAAGTTTAGTAGGGATTATATACAATTTTTAATCATTTTCGGTAAGGTCAAGTTATGGTTCGCGTTTAGGCGGGAGTCATCTCCATTCTACTCGATCCATGGTCACACTTTGCCAGCCTCGTAGTCTGCGAAGGTTCCGTAGGTCACCTTCTACTTGGTCGATTTACCTTGTTCCTCTTGGGTCGCTTTCGAGAACCATTTACACTGGGTCGTGCCCAGCCCACCGTAGTCGCCCAATTTTTGTGATGGATGGTTCTTCCAGCAGCTGGTGCAATCGAGGTGCAACTCGTGGTTCATTCGCCTCCTCCACGTTCCGTCATCCATCTGCACTGCTCTGTAGATGGTACGCAACACCTTCCGTTCGAAAACACCACGAGTATAGTCCAGGTCTCGTGGCCGTAGAGGATCACCGGTCTAATCAGCGTCTTGTAGACAGTCAACTTCGTGCGGCGGCGAATTTTTTTTTTCGACCGGAGCGTCCTCCGGAATTCAATGTAGGCACGATTCTCTGCCATAATGCGTCTTTAAATTTCTCTGCTGGAATCATTTTCGGTGGTCACCAGTGAGCCCAAATACACGACCACCTCGATTTCGTCACAGTCAATCTGAACTCGGGGTGGGAGGCTATCATTGTCTTCCCAAGAACCTCTTCCTTTCATGTATTTCGTCTTCGATGCTCCTTGCTCCAAAGTTCCTTGCCATGATGTCAATGTCATCGGCGAAACCAAGAAGCTGGATGGACTTCCTGAAGATCGTGCCACTTGTTTCGATCCCAGCTCTTCTGATCACACCTTCTAACGCGCTGAAAAACATACTCCATTTGATGATAGATGATTTGATGACGACAACCGCAGCGATAGCAGCGCCACGGTGGCCGGTTCAAACTTGGATTTTTCAATAGAACTTGAGCATGTTTTGTTTAATTAATCATTTTGTTCGACCATTTTCCACAGAGATGGCGCTGTTCCGCTGGTAGGAAGTGATAAAAATCCCCATATAAAAATTGAGAGAAGTGGGAATAATTCGCTTTCGGTGCATATTCAGGTCAAAAAAAGTGAACGACAACCTAAAGAAATTAGTCAGGGGCTTTGTCGTTCAGTTTTTCCCCGGGAATTAATGCTAAACAAGCTACAATTAAATAAAAATGATTTTTCCCCATACAATTTTACCTGCTTTACTACCAGTCCCCAGAGAGCCAAAAAATTTCAAATTTGAGAGAGAAATTCTCTCTCACAAGCTCAATCTCTCAACATGCCATGTATTTTGTTGATACTCGATTTGTGATTTCCCTTTCACAGATTACAAAATAGAGTACCTGACACTACAAAACATGTCTGGTACCTCTATATATGCATTTGCTTTAACATTTGAAGTCCCTCCTTTTTTACATATTCTGCGCAAAAGATACTTTATGCCCCGCCCCATACATAAAATTCGGCGGGAAATTCTGTGAGGGGTGAGCTATTTTGTGTGCAGAATGTGTAAAAAAGGAGGGACTTCGAATAATAATCTAAATGCATATATAGAGGTACCAGACATGTTTTGCACAGATTGTGTCTAGTTTCCGATAGATGTCACCGCAAACAACAGCAGTGACATCTGATGGAACATGAATGCAGAAGCTTGACAAAATGATTAATTGTTACACTCATTGGCCAGTATTCAGTGTCTATACGTATTACAAGCCACCGACTGATTCAACAATTGAACTGCAGATTTAGCATTTGTTTCTTAAGAGCATTGCTTGTTCCGCTTCTGTGACCTGGGAAGTAGACGCCGGGTGTCGACGAGGTATCAAACTGGTGGACTTTCTCAGAAATAAATGTCGTCCCAAGGTGGCATGTTTACCCGGAATGGACTGTATATTGACTTAAAATTTTAGAATTTCTTCACAAGCGAAAGCAAATGTTACAATGGCAAACTGACTTCTGTCATTTGAGGTTGCTTCTTCCAATCAGAAGAGAGCAAAAATTAGGCCCAAATTATGTTGGAGAAGCAAAAAAAAAATCGAAAATATTAATAGTTTGTAAATTGTTTGCAGATGATAGGTAAAAGTAAATCGAATGAAAAAAAAAACTCTTGAGATAGAGAAAAACGAAGTTGGGGGTAAAATTCGGTACTGATGTCCATATTGTGGTGTCACTTGTTCGCGCTGCTGTTGGTCGCTGTTCGACCCCACGCATTCAAATTGGGCAACACCACACGCCGCTGACCGCTTTCGCGTTGTAGGACCTCCAGAAGACTCATGCTCGGTAGCCAGGCCTGTGGAAGAGAAAATCAACGGTTTGGAAAATTAGCAATCAACAGCAAGACCGGAAGAAGATCTTTTAGTTGTTATACCTTGAATCGATCGGCCGTAGCCACCACGTTCCGGTTCGGTTCGGCATCGTATGCAACTGATTCGACACCGAACATCCCGCACATGTCGTGGACGACGTGACGCTTTTCGCGGTTCATCACCGGAAAGGAGTGACTGCGCGAGTGTTTGCTTTCTTTGGCTAGCTTCACCAGCTCGGTGAGTTTCTCGTGGATCATCTTGATCAGGGCGGGATCCTTTTTGGCGTAGGTTTTCAAAAAATCGGAATAGTTGGGCTGCAGCTTGGACGACAGGTCCGGGTTACGAATCTGAAGGCCTATTGCGAGGCGGCGGTTGCGCTCAAGCGTGCGACATTCGTCGCTGCATTCCAAACTGAAAATGTTGGTAAGCGACCGATATGAGGGATTATTGCGATTATTGGCTTTTAGCGCATCGACAGTGATGCACAGGGCATCAAATCAGAATCCAGTTAAGAAATTATTTTTCGAGAAAAAGTTTTTAAGCATTTGATGAAGAATTTCTAGTTAATTTAGTGGAGGCGAACCAGCCTAAGGCTGAAAGCCTCCTAAATAAAGCTAAATTAATTAATTAATTAGTTAATTTATGGTATACTTTGAAACAGCATGAGTATTTTACGGCTGCAAAACATAATCTCTAGGGCAACAATTGAAATAAGTCGAACAACCAACCGTAAACAATAGCTTTAAACGCAAATTTCACAAGAATAAAAACATATTCCACGCAATATCTAATAGGGTAGATCTAATCGCCCATTTTGGGCCTATCGAGCAGAAAACTTCAAATAACTCCATGATTTCAGAGTTAACAAGTCAATTATGCGTTTGATACGATACTTTAGTTAATAAGCTACCGAACGAAGTCAATGAGAACGCGTGGTATGAAAGTTTTTTTTTTTTTTTTCCTTGATTTGTTTTCCGTCGATCTTGTTTTCCGTGCTGAGCACCAATGCTACCGACGCCAGGAAGGCAGCTCCCACACCTGGACCCTACTTATCGACCCATCAACTCATGAACCGGGGACCAACGGCTTTACTTCCCTTCCGAAGGAAGGCGTGATCAGAGATGTTATGCCTCAGAACATCCCGGCGGCGCCGACTGGGATTGAACCCAGGCCTGCTGGGGTGAGAGGTAATCACGCTTACCACTACACCACCGGCGCCGCTGGTATGAAAGTTTGCACCCATTATTCCCAAAAACAAAAGAAGCGCTCCGACCGAATCCATTTTTATCTTCATCCGATAGGCCGAAGTGAATTCATTGGCGTTTCAATTGCGTTTTAATGCGTTATAGTACGTTCAGACTACAGAGTTATAACATGTTATAGCGCTATCTTGATGGTGGTTTCTGTGTTGCAATTATTTGACAACAGTTATAACGTGTTATAACTCTCCAGTCTGGACAGCGTTTTAGGCCGAGTTTAAAATCCGTAGGCCGAGTTTGGCGTCAAGAAGCAGTGTTGGACTTTTGACAATATCTCAACGATTGGTTTCTCGTTTTCAAATCTTATGGTACGTACGGAAAGGTAAATAAATTTGGAAGCCATCACTGATAATAACATTCCGTTTGATGCTAAACTGATCTAGATTAAGAAAGACTAAGTGCGGGTTGTGCTTAATAGGCCGGAAATGGGGTATTTAACCCTACCAGCATCTGACTTCATTTATCGAATGGCATTGTTATTTTGCGTGGGTGTGTTTTGATTATCGAGAAATTTGCTTTTCAAGCCATTGTTTACGATTGGTTGTTCCGCCTATTTTAATTGTTGGTCTAGATCTTTTCTGCATCCTGCATGCTAGACATAATGAGATTTTTTTTAAAGTTCCATGGGTCAACTTTTTCGTCATGTTTGATGTGCATCGCTTTCAACAGTTGATATTACAAAACAACATTTTTGGTATCGGTACTTACGTCTTATTACTTTTCGGCTTGCCGGAGCCCAGGATGTCACTCAGTTCGACCGATCCGCCACGTTGCATCTCCTGCATGGAAGACGCCAACTGTGCGGAAGCAAACCTGCGGTAGTCCTTGCTGAAGTCGTGACAAGTTCTCATCTGCTTCCGGTGGCCACATTCGCAGGTAACCTCTACCATTTCCTTGCACGGTAAATCCGGTGGACATTCACCATCGTGGCAAGGTGCCTTGCACTGATGGGAACAGTTCGTCCGTGCGGTGGTGCAGTTTTGCTTGCAGATTTCGCCTTCGCCGAAGCATTCGTTTTCGTGACATGGTTTAATGCACTTGTGACGTCCGCATGGTAGTGGTTTAGCGCATGCCAGTCCGCAGCTGAATGAGACCTGGAAGCACGGGATAGTTTTTCGCTGTTCGTGCTTGCCGTAGCAGTACTGGGTGGTCAGCACGACACACGGCGCACATTTGGTGTCTGAGTGACAGTTGTGTAGGACCGGATGGGAACAGTGGTGCCGTCGTGAGCAGGGTTTATCGCAGGGCGGTTTCTTCGTTCCGCAAGGCACTGGAGGATAGATGACACTTGCCCCACATTCGCAGGTCAGTTCGTCAAACGAAACGCGGTGACAAGTCTGACAGGAACCTTTGTGACAGGGCTTGTCGCAGCGATGACGACCGCAGGATAGCATCTGCGAGCAAGTCTTCAAGCAGATGTGATCATAATCGATGCAACACTCCTGGTTGCACTTGTGCTTGGCACAGCTACGCATCCGAGTGCAACGTTTCTTGCAGCGGGCATCGTCAGCACGTGTTTTAAGTTGCTTGCACTTGATCTGCTGATCCATATGACCGCAACGACACTTGACGAGAGTGGTTTTGTTGCACGGAAGACACTCCCCCAAGTGGCATCGGGCGTTGCAAACATGATGGGCACCTGGGGTACCACAAGGAAGCTGCTTGCCACAGACAGCCTTACAAACCGGGATAGGATCCAGGCACGATTCGCGTTCTCCTTTTACGATGGCTTGTTTTCCACAGGGACACGATGTAATGACCTCCGGGGAAAGCGAGCATTCACCACAAGTTTCCGAGTGACAAGCTTTGGTACAGTTGTGATTCTTACAACCGAGTTGTGCGTTGCAAATCTCTCCACAACCGAAGCGAGTATTGTCCAAATTGTCAACCGTGCAAGAAACCTGCTTCGTTTCCTTTTCGCAATGACATTTGTGCTCCAGGGTTTCCTCACATTCGCCACATGTGCCACAGTGGCATCTCTGCTGACAAGTGTGGATTCCGCAATTCAAAGGTTTTTCACATGTGGCATCGCAAAGGATCTCATCCTTTTGGCTACACTGCATCGGTTTAGTTGATCTTCCGCAGCCGCAACTTCTCTGCACCATCGCCTGACACGGTGGACATGGTCCGGGATGACAAAGCAATGTGCATGCATGCTCGCAAAGCTCTTCCCGACTACAAAGTTCCCCACAAGAATGGGCCACGTCGCTTCGATTATACTGAGGGTTCTTTTGCTTTCCACAGAAGCAGTAGTATTCCCGTGGAATCTTCTTCGACACGTTCTGGCACGCAGGACAACGCCACCCGTCATCAGATTTCGAACTACTAGCCCACTTAGTCGTGCAGGTCAGATGCAAAATGTGGTAGCAATTTGGACAGGACCAAATAGATTGTGTTGGTCGCACCAGATCGCAACAAACGAGACACTCCAACTTGGATGAATCCAGCTCCCGAATGAGTTTCTCGCGCTGCGAGCACTTGGAGGTAATCGTCGCTTCAAGCTTCTCCTGGCGGGCTCGATTCCTTTGATATCCATTTGGTCTACGGTCTTTCACTTCCGCATCCTTAGGTCCATTGTTGTGATTGTAATTGCTGCCATCAATCTGGGGTTCGTTTCGATCCTGATCGGGCCTCTGATTACGCCCATTGCGAAAACGTCCACCTCCAGCGTTTCCCTTCCATCTTCCATTCTGCTGCGGCTGTTGCTGCGGTGCTCTACGGGGCCTGTCATATTCCCTTGAATAGTCACCATTCAATCCTTCATGGGACGATCTTCCATTATCCCCACCATTCTCCCTCGGTTCCCTTTGATGGTCATTAAAACCGCGTCCTCGTCCACTCCCAAACCCATTGCGATTATTCCTGCGGCCGTTATTCCACTTAGATCCATCGTACTGCTTCCTCACAGCACCGGTCGCTCTTTCACCATTGTTCTCGTTGACACAATTATGCTCCCGCGGGGCTAGTCCCTGTCTCTGCTGCCAGCGTGGAACAAACTCTGCAGCGGTTGGTTTCAAATTCGAGCTTGCGTCAAAACCGCTGTTCCCGGCTGAATCAGACGGTGCTTGAAGGGACGTTCCAGCCGAGAATTGCGATATGAACTGCTCGAAGCTTTGATGTCCACCGGAAGATGATGGACCATCGCCTCCGCCGCTCGCCATCTCCGACGATGGATGTATCCTTATTGTTTGCTATCTGTCGTAGCACACAACCGAGATCTTCGGCCCCGCAAGGGGGTTGAGTTTGAACGCAGCTCCCAGTGGCGATGTTTAGTTGCCCTACGGGATGTACAAACACTATTAGATTGATGATCAATTATTGTGAAATAAAGGAAATCTATGAAACACCTCAAGATAAGATAGTCAAAACAACCACCTAAATAACCATCATCTGAAGCAGTTTAATTTTAGGTAGCTGCGCTGTTGCTACCCTTCTACCCTCCTTCAATACTTGTGAGCCTCCGCCACCCGACACTAAAGAGCAACAGCACCACCATTAAACTTTAATGGGGCTGGAAAAGGAGAAAGTTTCGACCGCAATGTTGTGCAATTTCCATTGGAAAATTATCCGCCGTACTGTCTGTTTTCCCCGGTAATATTAGCTGAAAACACAAATAACACTTACCTGAGCTGGAAAATCGAAGGAAAAACGCTGGGGAAATGAGGAAAATAACTAAAAATTGGAAAACTACTATCGACGAAAAGTTGGGTGCTGCGCGAGCTGACGGTGGTCAAAGACCATCAGCATCAGCATCACCATTGATGTTGAGGACAGGCTTTGCTAGTTTTTGTTTCACTTGCTCTAATAGATAGCCTCGGTTTGCTTTGTCGAAGTGTTTGAGTAGAATCTATTCGGCTCTCGTTTTGCCGAACCTTATTCATCAACAACAACAATAATATCGCGATAAAGGATTATGCAGGGGTGTGAAACTTTATAGAACATGAAACGGCTGCTATAAAATCTAGTAAGACACATTAAACGTCACGCTCGTTTGAGGCTACTCAAAATATGGTAATAGCACACTCAAAAGATTTTCAAATCTAAATAGATTAAAAGTTACAGTACGTTCAGACTACAGAGTTATAACAACAATGTTATAGCAACAATCAATACGAAACTAACGATTTTAAATTGGCTCACCACTTTAGTAGCCAATTGATCCCAAGCAAACGATTAACGTACCCTATTCTAGTTGAAATTCTATTACTACACTATGTTTGTTTTGATTCGCTATGAAAGTTTGACAGATAACATCAGGGGTGTGTGGATTCATGCAGAACATGCAGGGGTGAGTGAAATAGCTTGGGACTGCTTGGGACCGTTGTTCTGGTACTGAGTGAGCCAAAAATTATAATGATTTTCTTCGGGACCCAGTGGTCTTAGAGTTACATCTATGGTTATAGCGCTATCTTGATGGTGGTTTCTGTGTTGCAATTATTTGGCAACCTTATAACATGTTATAACTCTCCAGTCTGGACAGCGTTTTACACTAAATCACAACTCTCCTGCCGACGCATAGCTTGGAATAGAGACTTAGAATACACACTTAGTGTTGCTCACGGGATCGTATTGGGATTGAGTTTTTGTTTTGGTCAGGAGTTGGGGATACTAGATTGGTGTTCGCACCCGTGAGGGTCTTTTGGTTCCCGTTGCGAGAATCGTTTAGGGTTACGATTCAATCGGTTGCCAAACCGATGCGAAGGTAATCGGCTCACGTGTGCTAGGATGGGGAGGTTTTGTGAGCAGAGTTTTCCTTCTTGAAGGATACGTGAAGTTCCAAGTTAACCAGATCTCTTCAATCCAGACTGCTGGCCAGTTGCCACAATCTGTAATTGATTCCAATTGGTTGGGTTCCACCTAAAGAGAGTCCGGTATCACTTGCCAAATTTAGTTGGTGGCGAGTAAGGGGCTTCCGGATACAATCTTTCGGCTGGATTGCTAACCAATTCAGGCTCAAGATCTGATATAACTTACCGATTGGGTTTCGGATGAGTGAGCCGCATGAACGAATAGTCAAAAAACACACTGATTTTATTTCTCTGAAATTTCCCTTATATAAGGAGTCGGGGCCCTAGAATTTGGGCGTCAGTACATCGTGCGCATGTGCGCTTTGCATCTATGCAAAGGTCTTATTCACCTAACGCTCAAGTCCCTACGCACAAGTCCTATGGCCTTTGCTGTATCGCCTAAGTGACGATACGGTTTTATTTGGGTTCCGAATTTAATTACTTTCCTTCTAATTTCGGGAGTAGGGCGACGCGTGAGATCACCCCGTTCTAAAATTCTTAAACAGTGCACTTCCCAGAGTACGCGCGGCCTTACCTCTAGTGGGTAATTTATTGAACCTTCCTTAACATCTTCTACCTAGCTCTATAAATGTGGCCTTGCTTTTGCGGTACCGTTCTTCTGTGGTACTCGGTCGTACCACCAACAATCAATACGAAACTAACGATTTTAAATTGGCTCACCACTTTAGTAGCCTATTGGTCCCAAGCAAACGATTAACGTACCCTATTCTAGTTAAAATTCTATTACTACACTATGTTTGTTTTGATTCGCTATGAAAGTTTGACAGATAACATCAGGGGTGTGTGGATTCATGCAGAACATGCAGGGGTGAGTGAAATAGCTTGGGACTGCTTGGGACCGTTGTTCTGGTACTGAGTGAGCCAAAAATAATAATGATTTTCTTCGGGACCCAGTGGTCTTAGAGTTACCTCTATGGTTTTACCCTGATTAAAACCCGTTTAATTATTCCCAGATCATCAAGAGCTATTCCTGGTATGTTTTCATTACGTGTTTGGTAGAATATTCGTAGTATGCTTTCAATTTACAAAGAGTTATTGGCAATGATTTTTCACTTCCACTGCGATATCTGGAATAATTATATGGTAGAAGCGACTTGTTCCTTAGTAATGGCTGACCAAAGTAATTAAAGTCATGCAAAATGCAGGGAATGCAACTGATACGCTAGAATATAAGAAAAGAAGTTTACAAAATTGTTTTACACCGGTGTAACATATGTGACACATAGCTCGATCAAAAATTTTCTCTCGTTGACTGAGTTGCTGCGATATGTATTGACATGTTGACAACGATATTCATCATTGAGCAGCGCGAGTAACTCAGAGCTACTCAAAATTTGCTTAAAAATTACTCATGATTTAAAGCTGTCTGGCCCCTAGTTCCGCACCGAATAGGTCGAAACTGCAAACTAGGAGGAACGGGTGATGGCGATGGATTACAAGGTTCCGGTTAATATTCCCAGCTGCATTTGGACGGGAATTTGATTCGCAATATTCTCGCACAGAAATACATCAGCCGGTGGGTGTCTTACTTCACCATTAACCCTTGACCAGCATCAGAGACGAGTAAAACTTGGGCCGAGTGGAAAAAATGACCTGAATTCCTTTTCCACCTGCTTGTCGTAGGGGGTTTCATTGGTAAGGCTTTTCCCGGGGCTAGAATCAGCTGAACGAAATCAACAGTTGCTTCGCGCCTGTTCGGCAACTTCCATGCTACAACACACAGAGACCCGGGCTCTTATCCGTCGAATTCGATCGGTTTGAGTCCGGGATGTGCGTTGCCGAATCTTCCGTGATGCACTTGATGTTTTTTGCCCCCGAGACCGATTATAGACGAGTGGTCCGTCATCTTTTTTTAGTTTTCGCACCGATTTTTTACCGGTATGGCCAGCTGACATACGTGGTGTTTGTTGTGGAGAGTGTTGTAAACTGACAGTGAGTCTGGCAGAGTGCTTCGCGGTCGACCTGAAAACTTCGAAAAACTGCACGGCTTGCTTGACAATTTGTGTGCATGCAGAAGGGATAAATTGGGAATAGAAAGAATAGATAGGATGGATTGAAATTTTGTGAACGTTGAAAATTATATGAGAGGTTTGGGTAAAAATGGGATAATCCTGAAGTGTCGTTCCCCCTGATTTTTACTGACTTTTCGTGATATCACGAAAATTTGGAAATTAACGACTTTCTCAGTAAATAAATAATCTGTGTACAGTATTTTGCATCAAACGATACCGAAGTTCAGTTTGTGTTTTACAGAACGTCAGTTATTCACCTGATTTAAACTGAATTTTCAGTAAATCTTTCGTTTTACGGTGTAAACCCAGTACAAAAAAATACTGAACAAATAAATGCTGGATTAGTGTATAGACTTATAATTAACCACTTCATTCGAGCAGTTTGAGACAGGCGAGGACAGGTACAATCGCGTCATCTGCCGCTAAGGTAAAGGCTTCGAACGAATGTGATAGCAAAGATTACATACTCAGAAGAAGGGTTTGTGTATTTGCTCATTTTTTCTATGCGTTGCTTCCATCTTCACTCAAGCGCAGAGCCCAATGTATCTGTCGCTTGGATTCTGGCAAAGTTGCCAGTCTTCTTGATTTGTTGTCTTCGATATTGTTTAGGCTGTGTTCCATATGGTGAATTTTCACTTAAATTTGACAGATGGAAAATTTTCAAATAAACCTGCTATAGAGATTTTCACGTCCAGTTGTATTGGTACGATATATGAGAGCGTGTTAGTGAATATCCGAGGAAAATACATAACAAATCGCCGTCAAACTCATTTTGACAGATCTAATTTCATACATTTTTTAGGTTAGCCAGAGGAAAATAATAAACAACTTTACACAGCGATCCACCCGCTAGTGTGCGTGCGTTAAACGTCACTAATCTCTATTGTACCAGACTTATTTCTGACAGACAGGAATCAATTTTGACAAACACCTTCTCGAAAATAGGAAGATCAAACACCTTATCTTCCTATTTTCGAGAAGGTGTTTGAAAAAATTGATTCCTGCACGGAGAACAAATTATAGCAGACCGAGTAGCAGACGCAATTATTTTTCCGGTCAAAATAACTATATTGTTCAATTGTTTTAGAGATAACCCGAAACTATAGTTGATTTGACTATATATAGAGGGCAACAACTATAGTCCATAGTTGGCTCCTCGGTTGGTTCAACTATATTTTTCAGTAGATGAACAAACGTTAAACTTCAAGATACAACTCAAGACCAACAATTGAAATGGCCTTAACTCCATTTTGTAAGCAAAATTTTAATTCTAGTTCAGTAAAACCGGTAAAACTTTGTGATATTAGCGTCGTTTTGTCGTTTCTGACGCTGGTCCTCATTTGGTGTTGTTTTTTTTTCGACGTCGGGTGGGGGTGAGGATGATATGGGGATCGGTATCAGAAACGACGGAGTGACGTTGATATTGTGGGGTTTCACCTGGGGGGACGTGCTGTCAAATCAGCCTACTGATCATCTTGTATGAAACTGGTTCCAAACGTAAACAAACGCTGTAGGTTTCTTATGGCTTGTTTACGTTTGGAACCAGTTATGCGAGGTAGGCGACGATTATTCGTATTTGACAGCCACCTCCCCCCCTTGGGTTTCACCGGTTTTGTCGAGCTTGGAACACATGCTTGCGTGGGTTTTCGGACCAACGGTCTTTGGTTTCGCCGCTTGCAGGCCGTTTTCGGTTGAGTTTGCCGAATGTAAACAAGAAGGAAAAAATCACACGCTAAAAACTGTTTACCCAGATTATGTATTGTTGAAATAAACATGCTTTTGAATTTAATTCAAACGTACATATTTTTGTTGAAAACATGTTTTTAATTTACTTTGAACTGTTCATATTTTTATATAATAAACATATATATATTTGATTTAAATGGACAAAATTTGGTTCCGTGACTAAGGCTCTGAACCATTT